GAAAATTTATTTTCTCAACTAATACTTCTGTGATGGACTGGTTTTTGGGACTGAGCAGGTTTCTCCAAAAGGAGACCGCTGGCACATCCTAGGAGCCTGGAGGGGTTCTGCAAGCCAAGACCAGTGACAGTCACTGAAACGCGCACTGCTCATCTGGTCATGTGCTGTCTCTAGGTTTCATGTCTCCATTCACAACAGGCTTGCAGCTATCGGGTTTTATGCTGTTATTGTTTTCAAACTTCCAGTTACACATGAACTGGGAATGACCAGAATTCCTAGTGGGTACCAGGAAGTCAAGAATGTCTGTTCATAAAGAAAGCAAGTTTGCCAGCCTTTCCAGAGAAAAAAAGATATGCAAAGCGAGAAAGGGAGAGGGGAACAGGGTGAAAAGAAGGGGTAAAGAGAGGAAAGGAGAGGAGTGGTTTAAGATGGATAAAGAGAAACCAAAATCTAGAGGAAGAGGAAAAGGGTGAGTCAGAGAAGGAGACCACAGTATCCATGGGAATAAGTTAGGCACGCATATTGTGATAATATTGAAATAATACTTTTATTGGAGTGATGTAAGTTAACATCTATATTTAGATTTTTTATATTTTTTCTTGTCCTATTTATTTTCATTTTTGTATACGTACCACATTTCATGTAAAGAGGGGGGCTGCTCATATTTCAGACACCTTAGAGACATCTTTCGGTGTGTATAGTGATTTATCTTGACACTTTCTATATAGTGAGGCACCCACTATATGGAAAGAATTTGAGGATACAGGAAAAATGCAATGCTGCCCTCTATTGACAGCTGTGCAGTCATTACACTTGAGTGTTTGAATATGACTGGTCCAAATTTAGCCAAGAATAACTACTGCACTCACTGTACTTGCATAAATCTGCACATATATCCTCCTAGTGCTAACACACACAGTCTCACACAAAGAAACAGTCACAGAAACATTTGTGAATTTTGTAGCAAAAGTCAAAAATAGAGATTAAAAGTATCCCCTTTGTGATTATCTTGAACTACCCATGTTGCACAACAGTGCCAACACATGAGTCAGCTGGGATGCATACGTTGCACGCTGTCAACTTGGAGATCAGAGTCCAAAGATTATGAAAGATTCACCTACTTATTTCCTATAACATCTAAGCAATGTCCAGGACCTCAGCTGAACACACAGGCTCTGTGATCGGAAGTCATGTGTCTTAGTCACTAATATCAGTTTGCATCATGACCCAGCATATTTTTGGGTCTTGAGTAAGTGATTTTTCTTCTCTGAGTGGAAAACAATATCCATTAACATATCCCTCGGATATACACAATATCCATTTCCCCTGCAAAAACTTCACAGATAATCTTACAGTTGAATTAATCTCACAGTTGTGAATACTAAGCAAGGTACTTCTGAACACATACAAAACACTGTCGAGTCTTTAAAAGCCTTCCCATGATTTCATGTTGCAGAAATGTTTTGCTTCTGTTGAGTCCTCCCAATTTGCAGGTTCTGCTTGTACGGTCCTCTGGCTGCAGTATAAAATGTTTGAAATGTTGTAAGCTAAAGGAGGCCATCTCTGCGCTACTCACTCACAAGTATTACTCCATCTCACTCGTTGCTACTAGCTAATCAATCCCAGAATTCTAACCCAGTCCACATCCAGGAAGCAATTTTCAAATGTTTGTAAGTTTCAGAGCCCCCATAAGTCCTTTTGAAAGGTATCTGGTTATTTAATGCAAAGCCTCAACTTCTTGCTCATATCCTTGGCTCTGTGTTTGACAGTCCTTTGAGTTGACTTTATCAGTCCCAGAGTCCCAGACACAGGCGCTCAGAAAGCAGAGAACACATTTGCAGTGCATTAACATTGTACAGCAGCACACAGATGCCTGGGACTCATGCACTGTGAAGCTGATACAGTCACAGACTTTGTAGGTATAGTGCATGCTACCAAAGAACTGGGAGGAGCTCTGGTAGAGAAGGGAGGATTTCTACAGAGAAGTGTTATGTTACATCATCCAGCCCAAGGCCATTGAAAAGTTACAGTCATAGCCCTCTCCTCACCCAACACGTGAGAAGAGTGTGATTAGGAGAGATTTTCAACGAAAGCTCTGAGTGCTCTTAGCCACCCAGGGTGGTTGCATATGGCCACACAGCTGTTGGAGCCATATGCCATGTCCGGTTCCTGCAAACTGAATGGACTCCCTTTCACCACGTTTCATTCATGTCAGGAGGACAGGAAACTTCAGAATGGAGAGGATTACTGTCATGCTCAGATAGGAAGAGACATGCGCTCTGTCCTGGCAAGGGGGAATAATGATCTATCAGTTGATTTTATTTTTCTGTCTTTATGATCACTTACCTGCTGCTACACTGCCAGTCTGTGCATCTGTCTTCCTGTGAGTTTATGTCTTGTGTTTTATTTTGTCAGCATTACACAAAATATTCTTCTGTCCTTTTTCCCTGGGAAAACATCAGGGATGTTTGTCCACGCAGTCTGTCCACCCAGATCCCAACTGATGCTTTTATTCTCGCTCAATAGCTGGTTCTGTGGTTCTGCTTTGTTATATATTTATTTAATTTAATGCTTTGTTTAACCAGATTAATCAACTGAGAACCAAGTCTCATTCACAATAATGACATACCTGGCCCAGAGTTTCACACCATTGCAGCACAGAAAGCCAAACAAGGAAAGAAAGAAAACAACCAATTTCAGATTTAAATTACACACAAAAGACGTGATAATGCAATTTATTCTGGTTATTAGCAATGACTTGTGCTAAAAACACTAGTTGCTATGGAAGGGTAGGTTTGATAGAAGTGTGACAACTCATTTGAGGTAGGCACAAGGTACTGTGATAAAGTGTGTGGATATGAAGGTATTATCACAACTAATGATCAGGAAATTAATTTAAGTGTTCAAAGAGTAAAAGATCATAATGATGAGTGTGATGGGTTATGCCAGTGTTAAACCTTCTGACAGAACGGTAGAAGACATCAAGTTTCCTTTAGAGGCCAATCTGTAAACAACATCCCCATAGTCCAAGAATATACAGTATGTATGCAGAACTGGACTGGTGTATACCTATGGAAACATGCATAACAAGATTTGTTGTCATAAAGGAAACCAACTCTAGTTTGTAATATCCTATTAATATTGTGAATGATCCTTAACTTTCCATTTCAAGCACTAGATGCCTAGCACAACTACTGTGATTATGTGCTTGTAGTACACATAGTAGACTTTAAACTTTAAGGAAAAATACAGAAGTAACAAGGTCACAACGTGCAAAACATTCTACTTATTTTAGGGATGCAAATCTTAAATTGCACATGCCCATTAAGCTGCTCAAAGCCAATACCAGGCTTATTGCCTGGGATTATCTGAATGGCCTCTCAAGTAAAATGTGCAGTCTATTCATAGATCTGCGGTGAAAATAAAAGTTTGTCTACATCACTGGCTACATTAATGCAGTGGGTCCAACACAGTCAAAAATTGGATACAGATTTTTTACAGTTTTCTTTTTAGGGTTTCCACCAGCATGTGCTGCATGAAATAAAATTCTTAAGTCTTTGCTTGAGGCTTTTTAAGGGGTCCCTGAGCTTTCTGACGATAGGCTGCCAGCTGGAGGTCAGGTAGCAAAAATGCAAAGCATGCTGGATCCACAACTGCGTTAGATGGCAATAAGCTGGCTTCTTATGAGACTCTGCTGCTACTGAATTTATATTTTGAATAGAAGCTGATTTGCATCTTTTGCATCTCGAAGTCATTACATCTCCATAGGGAATTGCAGAGTTGTAGAGTGATTTCACTAGATGCTAACCCTCCACCAAGTTTCACATAAATTCAGGGAGCTTTATTGACATGACTGAAGAATCACAGCATTGCCACAAGCCATTCCAGCCTCACATTAAGTGCATGCTTGCTCGTTATAACAACGAGTACAGGTACAGGTCAGGGGCAGCCTCAGTCCTTCGCACCCAAAGGCAGCAGTGTGCTTGCTCGAAACCAAATCCTGACCATCATCTGCATCCTGGTCTTCACGAAAGCCATAAGTCGCAAGGTAGTGTCACAGGCTGACAGCCAAGGGGTGCAACGATGTAGTCTGCTTTATGAAGCGATGTCATTTCCATGTACAGTCCCATGTGTGGATAAAATGTCATTTCCATTTAATCATTTTCAAGATAAAAATGGCAGTCTATCCGTGGCATCTTTGGGTGCAATTGTTGTCACTAGGTGGTCGATACTGGTCATCTGCAAGAGCAGTGTACCTTTGGCATAGAAAATCTCCTTGGGGGATTTCTTCCAGTTCTTCCAGTTTGTTAATGTTCAAACTAGACAAGATTTCTCTGTGAGATAGTGCCCTAGTTACCTCCAGCTCTGCATTATAGACATGCACGAAGATTTGACTGGACATGAGCCATCTTGCAGTACATTGTCAGAGCCGTGTTGGTTTATAAAGATACTGACAACACACCTACTTGAACCCATGCTTACTTAATCTAAGAAGGAACTTGGAAGAGTGTCTGTCACAATAGAAAGATGGGTAACAGGAAAGCAAGTCCTTGCCTTCTGTTTAAAATTCGATTTGCAATAGAATTGATGTAAAGCCTTTTTTGGAGAACAGACTGGGGGTAAACTCTCGCTCCCCCCACCCCACCACTTGCAGTTAAGTACTCCTTCGTGTCCTTAACAGCTTTTCCTAGAAATCCGATTTCTAGGACCTGGGAAGAGGTGAGTGGGGTGGAGAGAGCTGACTGGTTCATCTCGGGTGCTAGCCTTCGGTGTGGCCTGACACAGCTCCTGGCAGCTGGGAGGACGCACCTGCCACTGAGTCCAGCATCTGCTGGGAGCTCTCCAAAGTGCTGCAAAGAAGGCAGAATCTGCAGGATCTCTTTTTCCATACAGATGGCCCGGGGCACATGTTTCAGTCTCATTGGCTTGGGGTCCCTTGTTTCTATAAATACGGACACACACACAGAAGCGTATAAATAGGTGCTCAAATCAAGCACAGCTCCACCAGGCCATGCAAAAAACCTGCACACATCTCCGCAGCACCCATCTCCACAAAGCCCGCACAACAGTCCCCTGTGGAAACAAAGGAATCGTAGCTGCCAAGGACTTGAACAGGTAATACTAATCCAAGCAATATGTGTCCACCTTATTTCCCTTGTTTCACCTGTGCAACTGCATTGTAGATCTAACAATCTGTGTATTTGACACAATTCCTGTTATGTTGTAGTGGGTTTTGCTTCCTTGCCAATTGCAAATATTTTTGTTTGATTGCATACTTTTTTAAAATCTATATAACTTTTGCACGGATTGCATTTCTCTGTTTATTATATGTATAGGTATAATTGGATAAAATCATTCTACCAATAATTTTATGAGAATTTTCACTGTAATTATCTGTGTTTTGTGTTCATAATTTCACTGGACTGTATTTGAATGCAAGTGATTTATTACAGATGAAATTAAGAGGATTGAATTGATCCATTTAAGGTATCTCACCTGTATGTGTATCTCCTGTACTATCCCATTCCTTTACAAAAACAAATCCCAATTTAATACTGGGAGTCAGGCAATGTGTTTTAAAAGGTTTGTCTTTAAATATGATGAAATCTGGTAAATGATAAGGGCAAAGTGATGATTCTGCAGTGTTTAAGTTGGAATTTGAGTGAGTATTGATGTAATATTGAGGCAGTCAGGTAGAGATCATGTTGATCTAAGTACAGTCATTCCCTAGGTACTTTGGAATTTAGTTTAGGAAAGCTTGTTCAAGGTGTTGATGTTTTACAATCAATCTGCATATTAATATTCTTTTGACTACTGACAATAACTAAATAGAGAATCAGAAATCAATTTTGAATACTTATGTTAACTTAATTTGCTGTAATTCATAAATTAACTTATTTGGAGTTAGTAACTATGAATGGTGTTGCACAGTAAAAAGCAGTAGGTAAACCAATAACAGAGAAAGTGAAAGAAAGTTTTTAATAAATTCCTGTTAAATTTCTAGCAGCTTAGACTGTAATGAGGTGACATACTTCAGTGGTTAAACCGCCGAACTGATGATATGATGACTGACAGGTTATGAGTTCAAGTCCCTCTTTCAAGGCACTTGACCCCAGTGGCACCAGTCCACAGCGGTAAAAAGTGGTGCTGGGGTAACTCTGTTCTGGGCTGCCACCCCATCACACGCTCTCTTAACCCCACAGAAACCAGAGCTCTGGACTGATGGGGCTCTTGTATGGACTTTACCCCACTTTTATTCTGTAATATTCAAATATAAATACAGTAGTACTACAATATGAATCATTCATTATATAGGATAAAAAAACAGCTGTACAAAAAATTCTAACCTGTCCAGGTTATCCTCACTTTAAAAAAAATCTAATTTTTTTTTGTTTAATTTAGTTCTGTTTTATGCACAGAAAATTCTGCACTGTTTTTTGTCTTCCCAAGTAAAAAAAACACATGTTAAGAAAGTACAGTAGATTCTTTAGACTGGCTTGATCATTTCCCTCTGTTTCTGTGACCGCTTTCTTTTTGCACAAACAACTTTGTGAAAATATTATGAAACACATCAAAACTAAGGGTTGGATTGAAGTTAGTGCTGCAGCTTCAGAGCTCTTAGTTCCTGATTTGATTGTTGACTGGGGAACCTCAGGTGTGGAGTTTGGATGTTCTCACCTCATCCATGTGGGTTTCTTCAGTTTCCTATCAACTCTCATAGACATAAGGATGTCTCTAATGATCTCTGTGGGAGTAAACCGTATGTGTGAGAGAGGGAAAAGCTTTCAAAGTGCTTTGATGACGCCAATAGTTAATTCAATTGGCTTTTTAAAGTTGTCTTGGAATGTGATTGTGTGCGTGACAACCTGTAGACAAAGTCCAGAGGTGGCATTGAGCCACATGCATCTGGTTTAGGAGTGTCTGTTACACCACTGATGGCTGGCTCTGGCCCCAGGGAGCCACAGTAGTGAATGCATCACAGATGTATCAGTAGCCACAGTGGGATATACTGTACTGCATAGACCTGGAAAGGGTGATCATATTGACTAGCCCACGTGTCGCTCATTCAGAAATCCAGTGTGGCCTTTGTAACTGACTGCCACTGAGTATTCACCAAAACATGACTTGGATATGGCTGAGTTCTGCTGGGTTGACATGGGTTTGAGTAAGGATAGTTTCCCCCCATGAGCAATTCGTACTGACTGGCTGGGCACCTGTGACAGTGCAGGGCTGTCAGTGAGAGCTGCACCCATTCTCTCCTCGGTGCTAACTCTGCAGTAGATGCTGTGGGGCTCACAAGGCGACTAGAGCCAGGTATATCAAGTGTGTATATTTCAGAGAATGTGTAGGCCTTCATACCTGCAGTACTGATACATGGGCCTCAGCTTTGAGCTGGCATGTTTGGTAAAAAAGGAAAAGCAGGTGTCGATTCTAATTAGGTACCAGTCTAATTCTGACAGTGGACAGTACTTTATAATTGCCCTGTGTGTAACATGCAATCTACTGAGTGTGGTGGGATATACAGTACCCATAGTGTACATAGCAGGCATCTTGAAATGAACCACTGTGGATAGTTTATGCTGATGGATTTGTGATTTTCCCCAAGCGCTAAGCAGAGACTGATCTTCCCTGACTTCAACCAGCTGTGGGCACAGCTGATAGATGTGGAAAGACTCAAGTGAAAAAATAACCTCAAATGGCAGTCCTTCCCACTCACACATTTTTCATTGAAAATTGCAGTTAAACGTGTGTGATCTAGGCAATAATTAGTTAACAACATTCTTTTTAAAAACTGTATTTTAAAGTATACTTATTGTAATTCCTATTTTATAGTTTGTTGCTCTTTCAGTCTTGAAGAAAAGAAATAAGTTCACAGACTCAGAAAAGGAATATTGGCAATCTGATACGAATTACCACAGATAGCCAGCAGGGAGCAGTGCAATACCAGAAAGACTAGGGGCTGTTCTTCTGCAGCTCCGTAATCACTTTTTAAGTCGGGTGAATAATAGATTACATCAAAATGTGAGCTACACATGTGCAGGATTGCGTGTTCAGGTTTTGAAGATCCACACAAATGCCTCCTTTGACTGCAACAGTATTCAAGTTCTGCTGTGCAGCCATGAGCAAATGACTAATATGACATTTAATTTGACTCCAAATTTTTGGGAGTTTTAAATGTGTAATTTAAAAGTTCTGCAGAATAGAGTCGCTTAAATTCAGGTCTCTGCACTGAATCTTCGTGCCTCTTGTAGTGATTTTCAGTTTATTGTGCAAATCGCAAAAATAAAAACATTATCAAATCATGTATCTTTCCTAATTATCGTGCTTCAGAGGCTTTAAGCTTTATGAAGTTGAAATATACATGTTCAAGAATCATGATTTGTGTTTTTTTATGGCTGATGTGTAGATTTCACACATAATAGATCTGTTAATTACATGATGTTCTCAGTGTTAAGATAAAGTATTAGTTTAATTCACAAGATGTCAGAGTGAACAGAATTGCTGACATTTGTTAGCCAATTAACAAAGGTGAAAGCTTTCTGTTTGAAACAGTTTTTGAGATTTTTCCTTTAATTTTATCAGGCAGGTGCAAGTTCATCTTCTGCTGCTTCGCTCTCGCAGGTTCTGGGCCCTCTGGCTGCTCTAATTGTTTTCATTCTCTCTTCTTCTAATCACAGCCCCTGGCAAAAACCAGCAAAGGGAAGGGAATGAAGGGGATGAAGGGAATGAAGGATGACGTCATCTGGCCAGGTATGTGGTTTAGAAACCGATGTTTAAATCCAATGTTATTTAAACAAAACTTGTTCAGGTGAATGTGATACTCTTAGGAATGTTATCAGGTAGTTTAAACTTTTCTATACAATGCAGAATTCTACACTAGCCTTGATCCTGCAGAGGCCGTGGCCCTCCTGAGTCATTCCTGGAGTAAGACCTGCTGGGCTGTAGCCCTCCTGGACCAGAGCAGGTGTAAGACCTGCTGGACTGTGGCCCTCCTGGACCAGGGCTGGTGTACAAGCAGGGACAGCCTCCTCATTCAGTATGTGACTGGAAGCTTAGACTGACTTCAAGCCAAAATGGAATAAGGCACAAACAATTGTGATGCCGCAAGGGGCTGGGTACTTGAGGGGTGTTTCTTTCCCAAAGGACTCCTAGATTTTTTTAGAAGCTTATCTGATAGCATCGCACAGATCACAGGAGAGCAGATGCTGGCAATCACAGAAACAGACATCAGCTGTGCACCCTGCTCCAGGCCACATATATAGACTGATGAGGAGAAGACGTCCGAGCACATACTTTGCGAGACCACTGTGTTAGCCTAAACCCAGCCACAGGCTGAAATATTGTTAATCCAGCCTCCGAGTTGAAGTATCTCACCTAAAATGCTACAGTCTCAGCCTCAGGGTCGAAGAGCAGCTTTATTGCCATAGTGCAGGCTGTCTGTATTTTTTTCCATTATAGCCCTAGGCAAAAACACCTTGACCATTTCACTAAACTAGCTTTAGGACTGTGATATTTTGCCTCAGTCATATACACACAGTGCAGGCTGCTTATAGACCAACAGGAAAGTAGCAAGTAGAAAGATTTTAGTAGCAACGCACACCCGCTTGCGCTACTTCCACAGGCTTCCTTGAACAGGACGACAAACACTACTGTATGTCACGGATGTCAGAAGGGATAAACCGTGGAGAGGCAGGAGAGTGGAAAAAGACCCTATGCGAAGCGGCGGAATGGGGGGTTAGCCCGGGCTCAGCAGTGCAAAGAGTTCTGGAGTGCCGTATAGAAACCTATGCCCTCAGGCCACGGACGGAGTGGCGACCTGGTGCTAGGCGGGTCTCGGGACATCCGAACGTCAATGCTGAATGAAGGTGAATGAGTGACCCGGAAATATATAGCCCCAGGGAGAGAGAGACCGGAAGGACAACAAAGGACAGGAAACTAGGGACAGGACAGAGAAGGAGCGCCCTCTGGCTGCATAGGGTGTGAAACACTACTATTGCTGTGCCAGGTACAAGCTATATTCTACAAATTCTAGTCTATAAAATACTGTTAAAGCCTTCTGTGGGGCAAGTATTTGTGTTTGGGGTCTCACCTTGAACCTGTGCCCATATTGTGAGCTGCCCCACACAGTATTTTCTATTGATGTGAAAAAACACTTCAATGGGAAGGTTGAAACTAAAATTGGCAGTCTCAGATATTAAGTAATATGGGGCTATGGTAATGTTTTGCACAATACTGATGTCTTGCTGTTATATATATTCTCTCCTGTTTCCTGTTCTCTATAGGCTCTGTGGAAACCTCAAACCACCCAGGTGGTGTCCTCTGGATCAACAGTAATTGAGAATGGGTGATTGTAGCCACCACTGATCATGCTGCAGGTGTCCTTGCAAACAGGTAAAAATCACACAGCCGAACTGCTACTCTTGTGTAGCACAGGTGCAGTCAAAACCAGGCAGTGAACCAATACAATACTCATACCGGCCATGGAGTGCTGTGCTGAGACTACCTAGACAACTGCTTTAAAAAAAGTTTAAAAAAGTAGTAATGCACAAAACCAGATAGCTGGTTTTTGATAGAAAAAGTGATTGATTAAGAAGGGTAAAGGGCATCATCCTTAAAACATAAGTCACGTGCACACGTGCACACCTACTGTTAACCAAAACATGAGCTTTCAGTCTGCAAACATGAAAACATATACAGCAGCTATTACTGCTGAACAAGGTGCATCTGTTCTGTAACACAACAACTAAGCCTGGGCACATGGCACTGCTTCATAATGGACTTAAACAGGCTAGTTTGTTGCTAAGCAGAATTACCATCCAGGAAGATGTGCAGACACCTCCCTCTGAATCCCCAGCACATTTGGGGGGTTTGTTCTGCTTGCTAGCAACTGTAAAATATGCAACTCATGCCTTGATATTGAAGATTAGTTCTGCTTTTCCTAAATGACCAGGAACCTATATTTCAGTTGTTCTATACCAGAAAGACATTTTATTTAATTCACAATTTTTTCTCTTACAAGGAATCATTCTAGATTGATGTGATCCTGGGTGCATCCCAGCCAGCACTCTTCCTACCGTGGCCAAAGAGATGACACTGAGACACACTCCTGTGATGACCAGATGACTGACCTTGTAGAAAACAACGTTTGCTCCATTTGCCAGAAGCTGCTGTGTTCTACTTAGAGGCAGAGTGCTTAAACAAAGGAGGAAAACAGCTTTTGCCATTGCATAAAAGACTTACAATCAGAGTCAGACGAACTTTCCCGAACCTAGCTTTCAACCTGTCACACAAATTACTGCCTGCTTAGTGCTGCCAAGGGAAAAGCTCTCTGTTTCCATCGACAGTGACTGATTAAACATCACCATAACCTTAAAGAACTAGGTCTCCCAGGAAGGCTTGTGGTAAGAGACGAGGGGTTTAGGTAAAACAACAAGGCTGTGACATTAATTCCCTGAGCTGTCAACCTCCCTGGGTCAGGGACTAATTAGTAGCCCCTGTCCTGTTTGGCCCAGTCTGCTGTTTGATTTTCCCTTTTTGACCTTCCTGATACAATCACTTCTTATGTCTCTGGGCATATTGGAGCTGACAGGGAGGACAAAAAAAGAAAAGCACAGGGAAACCCAAGAAAGCAGATCTGAGCAGGTCTGGCTCCCTTTCCAAATATTTTCTAGTCTGATCGTAGTTTTTCTTCATTCACGAGGAGTCACATTGTAGCTCTGTGCCATTTAAATATCAGGCTTTTGTGCCACTGATCTCTCTGAGCTGAACACGTTTCCTAACAGAACAATAGCAAAAGATTTGTAAGATTTCTGGACACCTTCACTACACAGACTCACTGTCTGGAGGAGAGGCAGAGTCCCACAGATTTGTCTTTCTCCTGCAGGTTTTGTGTGTCTACCCTCTGAGCCCAGTAGTTTTTCTGCCTACGCTGATGTACCTGTGCTGTAGGAAACAGCCTAGCCAATGCAACAGCAACCAGCGTCCAGGCTGTTCTAGTGAACAGAGTTGCATACCTTACCAATTTCCACCAATAGTGCAATTCACTCACATGTTCTCAGCTTTCAGCTCTCTGTGCAAGGATTGGCTCCCGTGCATTTCACCAGTGCAGTTTTCTTCCTCCCTGACTCACCCTGTATAAGTCACTAGCTGCTTTTCAGTTGTGTGCAAAGCAGTGCGCTTCATTCCTGGTCCTGTTGAGACACCGCCCTCCTGCAGGGAAGTAAGACTCTTCAATAATAAAGAGTGGTGGTGCGGTGCAGTGGCTCTGTGGCTGAGGATCTGCGCCTGTGGCTGGAAGGTTGCTGGTTTGTATCCCGCGGCTGGCAGAGGAATCCTACTCCGTTGGGCCCCTGAGCAAGGCCCTTAACTGCTCCAGGGGCGCTGTATAAATGGCTGACCCTGTGCTCTGACCCCAAGCTTCTCTCCCTGTTTGTGTGTCTCATGGAAAGCAAGTTGGGGTATGTGAAAAGACAAATTCCTAATACAAGAAATTGTACAACTTCTTGCACAGTAGCATTTGACTTCTGATTGGTTTTGCAGGCCCTGATCCTACATGTATCTTTGTGATGCTCCTGGAACAGCCATGTGGATAGGATATGAGGCATCAACCCTCTTCTGACCTCACCTTTATAATGCCTGATAACACTGAACCTTCCTGACAGTGCTAGATCATAATAGATACAGCTAATGGCCACATTTGTAGGCATATACAGATCACTGTAAGTTGGCCTGGAGGCCAGCTCTGGTCCTTTAGAGCCTTTAGAGCTTCAAGCTCATCTTTTAGTTTTAAGCCTTCAGAAATTGATTGATTCAAATTGTAATTTGTCAGCTGAACACTAACATTTAAGAACCTGAAAAACCTTCAGATGAGTTGAAACCTTTCATCCCACTTATTTATTTGGTTGTTAGTTCTTTAATGACTCACCTAGCCTAGGCTCTCACACACATTCTGGTTTTCATTAAAGCTGAGCTTTTTACTTCAATGAACCCTTCACAGTACGCCATGCTGTGCGATCAGATGCAAGGCTTTCCCAAATGTCGACAGAGATTCCTAGGCTTTTCATGGAGTTTTTTAGACTGTCCTTAAAGCGCATTTTGGGTCTCCCAACTGGGTGCTTTCCCTCTGCCAGGTTACTGTACAAGAGCTTCTTGGGAAGACGCTTGTCGTCCATGGGTAGAACATGTCTGGCCAACTGGCCTGATTCTTCTGCAGCAGGGTGTGAATGCTGTGCAGACCTGTGCAGGCGAGAACCTCTGTGTCAGGGATCTTATCACGCCACCATGTGGAAGTGATTCAATTGTCTGGCATGTCTGCTGTAGATGGTCTACATTTTGCATGCATAAAGCAACGCTGAAATTACTATAGCCTGATAGACTTTCAGCTTTGTGTTGAGACTAATACCTCTATGCTCAAAGACGTTGGCTTGCAACCTCCCAAACACACTGCTGGCCTTAGCAGTTCTGCAGTTTATTTCTCCATCTATGTTCACATGCCTGGATAGATTACTGCCCAGATAGGTGAAACTATCTACGATGTTGAGTGTCAATCCCTTCACTGTGATGCAGGGTTTCTGATAGGGGTTGGCTGGTACATCACTTCTGTCCTTTTTATACTGATTGTGAGACTGACATTTTCGTATGTTGCAGAGAACCTGTCCATGCTGGCTTGCATGTCCTGCTTGCTGGCAGCATTGAGTGTGCAGTCATCGGCAAAGAGAAAGTCCCTGATGACTGTCTCCTTCACCTTGGTGACTGCCTGCAGGCGGCATTGGTTATACAGCTTCCCATCTGTCCTGTATCTGATGTGGATGCCTTCCTCATTGTTGCGAAAAGTGTCAGACAGCATGGCTGAGAACATCATGCTGAACAGTGTTGGGGCAAGCACACACCCCTGCTTTACTCCGTTTATCACAGGGAAGGCTTCTGAGATCTCACTATTATCCAGCACATGAGCCATCATACCATCGTGAAACTGATGTGTAATGGTGATGAACTGGTCAGGACATCCGAACTTGGCCATTATCTTCCAGAGTCCATCCCTACTGACAGTGTCGAAAGCCTTAGTCAGGTCCACGAAGATGGTGTACAAATCCCTGTTCTGTTCTTGACACTTTTCCTGAACTGCTCAACTGCTCAGACTTCCTGAAGGTGTCTGCCCGCAAAGATCACTTCCACTGTACCACGCCCTGCGCGGAAGACGCATTGACTCTCGGGGAGAAGATCTTGCTCGAGACGGTGGACAATTGCTGTTGTACCTTCCTACTCCTTGAGTACCAATAGCTCCATTCCAGGTCAGGTGGTCTGTGCCCACACTCGCATTGAAGTCACCTAAGAGAATGTGTTTCTCAGACTTTGGGACCGCTGTGATGAGAGTGTCCAATTCTTCTTAGAACTTGTCTTTCACCGCTTCTGGGTTGGTCATAGTGGGGGTCGTAGGCACTGATAATTGTTAAACACTTGTTTTTCCCAGAGGGAGTTGAAGTGTCATCAGTCGGTCACTGATGCCGTTTGGAAGATTAGCGAGTTTTGGAACAATGTGGGATTTGACTGCAAAGCCAACACCTGCCTCCCGACGTTCCTCGCTACTGCATCCATTCCAGAAGAAGGATGTATCTACCGCTACGTTCTGATATTTGTCCCTCACCTGGTAGGCGTGTTTCACTTAGAGCTGCTATGTCTACATTGTAGCGGGCAAGTTCTCTAGAGACCAGTGCTGTTCTTCTTTCTGGTATATCAGCCACTGCATTGTCACGGAGGGATAGGACGTTCCATGTACCGAGGGTGAGCACCGTCACCTTTTGTTTCTTCATCTTTGTAATTCGACTGTAATGAAGGGATTCCCTCCAGCCGCGGTAAGATGGTCGGGTGAAGATGAAGCAGGCTATGTTTAGGGCTTTTATTTTTTAGCCCCTTCCCCAGGCTAAGGAGGTGAGCAGAGTGACCATTAATAAGGCTGCTCAGTCACTCAGGGGGCTGCCGAATTCCGGTGCTGCTTCCGTTCAATGAAAGACTACCCTACACCCTGAGCCGCCTGTGTGTAGGTTTGTGGCTGCAGCTTGAGCGTAATCCGCACATGCTGTTTCGTCACTCACCCATCGCCACAGGACTTTCTGTGTGACAATGTGTTGAAGTCGTGACTTGCGCTTGACTTTGATTATTGTGAGGAAGAGTTGCGCAAAGTCTGCCTCGCTCTCTCATCCCGACCCATCTGGATCCAGTGGCAAGACGATGTCAAGACGGCTAGAGATGAACTAGGATGCAGGAGCTGCCGGAGGGTGACAAATATGCCAGCCGACTGCCTTTGGGGCCCCACTCTAGATTTTACGTAGGGGTTTATTCCCTTAGCCTTCAAGGCAGGGGTGCTATCTCACCTGTAGCTGGGGGATCGGTTCGTGGACACCAGGGCTTGACCACACATCGGTGGGCCTGCATGCCGCATGTCTAGGAGCCAAACCTCCTCTGAGTCCCTTGTAGTTGATCCTGAGGCTGCAAAGTGCTCAGTTTCCAGGTGCTGCCACTAGAAGGCACTAAATACAGTAGGGCTTGCTAGTGGAGAGGCTATGTACTGGCAGGGAAAGACTTACACACTCGGCTTTCCTTCTCGCATTGCTGCTAGCCAGCGGTGAAAGCTGAAAGCGAGAGATGACAAGCAACTACTGACTACGCAGTCACACTAGACGTGTCACACCAGCCATTGAAACACCCAATTGTGTACTCTAGTGAAACAAAAACTACCCAGTGTGTGGGTTGCCAGAACCATGACTGGGAACCCCTGACTTATAGGAGTCAGCTTCAAGCATGTGACTAGGGACCTGTTTCCAGACTCTCAGTCTTAGTCCTGGTCTCCCTTCAGACACTCTACACCCTTGAATAGTCCCCTGAAACTCCTGTGGACACTATACCCCCATGAACAGTCTCCTGAAACACTCTTGGTCATTGTACCCCCCTGAACAGTCACCTGAGTCTCCCTTGGTCACTCTACCCTCTTGAACATTACCTCAAGTATTCCTTGGCCACTGTATCCCCCTTGAACAGTCCCCTGAATCCTTCTTGGTCACTGTATCTCCCTTGAACAGTCCCCTGAATCCTTCTTGGTCACTGTTCCCCCTTGAACAGTCCCCTGAATCTCCCTTGGTCACTGTTCCCCCTTGAACAGTCCCCTGAATCTCCCTTGGTCACTGTTCCCCCTTGAACAGTCCCCTGAATCCTTCTTGGTCACTGTATTTGCCCAAGTCTTCCTTGGTCACTGTACCCCCTTGCACTGTACTCCAAGTCTTCCTTGGGTAACTCTACACCCTTGATCAAGTCAGGTTCTCTGAGTTGACTCCATCAGTGCCTGAAATATAGTCAATATTTTGAGGAACCTGTATAAGCATGGGATTGTGGCTTTCCAGAACCCCACTGTTATAATCAGGGATCCTTAATGGTGTGTATTTTCAACTGCCAAAGATAAAACAGGTGGGAGTAAACCCATAAATGATGATGGTAAAATATGATGGCTTTCATTGTTCATTCATTCATGTGCAAAAGATATAATAAAACAAAAACTACAGCTATAAATACGGTGGGAAAATACAAAGAAATCCATCTGAATAATTTTAAGAAATGGCAAACCTTTTCCGTACTTAAGAAATGCGCCACCTGCTGGTGAGTGCTCTGAGTTAAAACTACCTTCTGACACTTCTAATAAATCTGCAATGGGGAATATCGTTTTAGCTTTGGGTTGAACGTTTCTAGGACTGTAGCGCCACACATGCAAGTTTTGTACCCTCATTAATGATTTTTTTATATTGATTAAAACTTTTTTTAAATGACATTTTTTTCATTTTTGAATCTTTTAATATGCCTCATCAGTAGACATTGTCTACATTAAAGTGGAATAGTGGAATGTTTTTTTACTGTTCACCCCAATTTTGGAAGCTGTGATTTGTTCATTCTTAGCTTTATGGCTATACTGTACAAGTAGAATAAGGAAGTGCAGACAGCTGCTCTGATATGCCCACCTGTAGAGCCATTCAGGTTTGGGTGTGCTGTGAGCTTCACAGTGCCCCCCCCCAACATCACAACCAACCCGCGATTTGCTTACAGGAGTTGCCTTGAGCCAAGACAGCCCTGGCCAGCTAATACCTGCCTCTGCCACTGGAGCAATCCCAGTTACAACTAGCTGGTGAGACACGACTCATGTTTAAGGGGCAACATCTAAGTCAACGCCATAAACAAGACTTTTAAAGGCCAAAAAAAATTTGGAAGTGCAAAAAAGGGTCATGGGTCACTATACTGAGATGGTTCAGAGCATGCTCAGAGATGACTGCTGATGACCTGTAAGATGCTATAGGGCTCCTGCAAATACATGCAATGAATCCTTCTAAAAATGTTTCTTTCTAGGGAGATGACCAAGTAGCAAACATTTCTTGAAAATATAATACGGACATTGAAACACAGGCTACCCCCTTGTTTCAGTATGGGACAGGGACAGAAAAAGTGTTCTGTTAACGCAAATACTGTGTCCTGGATGTGACATTTCAGCAACCTTTCTTTTGCTTCAGGCAGAAGACAGCACATCAAAACTACAGCCCATCAGACTGACCACACACACAGGTACTAAGGACCAAGCCAACTGGAAGACCCCAGGGCCTTCTGGAGCAGCCCAGCTTACAGGTTCAGCACAAGACACAGGTAAGCAAAAGCAATTCAGAGCCATAAAAAACACAAAGCAAGCTGCCCTTATGGTGGTACCCACACAGAGAGGAAAAACAGAATAATTCAATGAAAAGTGAAAAAAGTAAAAGCATTATATTATACACACAGCCAGTACAGGAAAATCCCCACTCCAGCGGGATCCAAGAGTCCCCAAACCAGGCAAGCTTCTTCTCTGAAGAGACTTCTCTGAGCTCAGCAACCACAGCTGTGCTGATGCTCAGCCATGCAAGGCAGAAGGCAGACACAGATGAGAACCAGTTAGTGCCGACTGTAGGAGGCTCTTCACTGCACACAGGTGCTACTTCATGAAGCAAATCAACAAATCCCAGGACACAACTTCAAATCTTTCAAGAGGTCCTCCATCTGTAAGATACGGATGACAAAATCGCGAACTGGCCCAGGAGACACTTTTTTGTAGCCCCTTTTGATTTGTGTTTGATTAACCATATCACTGGGAGTCCCTTTGAAGCACTCATTTGGAAACTTTATTATTGTTGTTCGTGGGCAAAGAGGCATTCACAGCCATGAGAAGACGACGCGAGCGCTGTTGCTTCTCTGCCCGAACACTGCTCCCTCATTGGCTACCTGCTCAGTTTGGAGCCACTGGCATATGCCAGTGTCCTTTTAGACAAGGAACACACAAGGAGCATGTGTTGATAACCTAGTGACAGATCTCACTCACAGCTGGAACGGCACTTTACCCACTAGGAATCTGGTCAGGCTGACTGACGATCACAGTCTGATGAAGGGCACAAGATTGTATTCAACCTGGGGGGTCATAGTGTGAAACGCAATTAAAAATGCCTAATTGGTAGGTTCACTGCAAGGTGCAATTGATGTCCCCTTGATGTAATGCCGAGGGATATATAAGGAAACTGGGTCTGGCCTAATGAGATTAGCCAGGAGATTTGCCAGTTAATGGAAGCGAAGGTCTGGCCTGAACGAGTTTGTGTGTGTTTAACATGTGTTTTGTGGGGGCGCAAAGGTTAGGATTAAGCCTTGACAAGACGCACAGTACAGGGCGATTGTAATCATAGACTGCTTATCCGTTATGTTATGGCACTGCTTCTGAGAAGAGAAAACAACCGAAACAAAGGTGCTTTCTGCACTCCTCCCAGTCAGTCATTCCAGGCAACACAGAGACGCGCAGCTCTGTTCACAGGGCAGAGACACCGAGCGACACTGGCCGGACATTGACTTATACCTCCATGACTTCTGAAATGGATCCTATTTCTCAGTTTGCTAACCTCTGTCCTTTGCACCTCAGCAATAATGTGGATGTTATTAATGCACACATTGAGAGGGGTCCATTAAAGAACTTCCAATTACAGGCTGGGGTCTTATTCGCTTATCTAGGTCACATCCTTTTCTCTGATCCCACTTAATTGCAAAAAAGTTGCCAGAAACAAACCCCATGAAAAAACATCCACACAGAGTAAAGAGATAGTCTTCATCAAATAAGTATATTTGATGTGATTAATTAGAAATGCAGAGTTGTAATTAGACTAATTTACTAGCTTTAACTGTTGCTTTATAAGCATACAAAGTCCTGACATTGTATAGTTTATAATTCAGAAATGTTATTTTCATGAATTACGAATTCTGTTTGAAATAATTTGCACATTTGGGGACAAAAGGAAAACAGCTCAATTCAACCAATCTTTGGTGTCTGAACTCAACAGCTTTTCCTCAGCTTAAGGGTGAAAGGTGAAATGTCCTTACACTTCAGCAGCCCTAGGTCAGGCGGCAGTCAGGAGTATAATCAATGCAAATACATTTGATAGAGTGTGAAATCCAATTTTGTAAATGAGCCCCTACCGATGATGACCTTAATTACCTCGACCCTGCTGATCTCACAGCCATGGCATTTTAAATACAGTTTAACCCAGAAAAGCTGAACAGAAACACCTGGGCAAGTTTTACTGTGCTTACAGATGGCAAAATCAGGGTCTTTATTTGATTGTAATGGATTACGAGCAAGTAAAGAGGTATAATCGTAATTAGACATACTATCTTTATTTCGGAGCACAACATTAAGTTTGGACAGAGCTACAACTGATTTCCCATTAACCCCTTTCATAAAAAATGAGACTTTCCTTCACCTACCTGATGTCCAGCCCTGTACACTACCACAAAGAAATCCTTTGATTTCTTTTAATATTTGTACACATCAAAACCAGGAGCAAAGAGTGGTGTTTTTTAAGTTTGCCACAGCTGTGATGCATATTGTTGTGATTGTGCATCAGGAACATTCACTGGTGCCTAAACCCTAAGGGGATTTGGGGGCTGTGCTTGGCTAGCAAGGAGTTAGGAGGATTACCGTTTTAGTGGTGCTGAGCTCTCAGTGTGTCTCTAGGTCAGTGTGTCAGTATATCACTGAGTCACTGGGACTCACAAGGATCCAATCACTTTACCATCAGCAGCGTAAGTCCTAATTGTGCTTGAAAAAGTCACAAACCAGTGTAGCACTAGGAGAGACAGGGGAGGTGTGGTCTCGAGTAAGGAGTCTGCAAACAGCCAGGTTATTGTTTTCCGAAGGAAGTGCACAATATCAGATAGTTCTAAAAATGCAAAAGTTGTTTTAGAGTTTCTTATTATGGGACGTATGGTCCATTTTCCTATTCTCTCATAGAGATACTGTACTTTTTATGGAAATAGGGCAGCTTTGCTGTACCATCAGTATCAGTGTTTTTATACCAATGCATGGCACAGATTCTGTCATACGGAATTTGGATGCATTGTGTCTCTTTAATATAGGTTCATGCTGCCTATAAAGCTGCCTATAGCCCATATACCAACTAGACACAGGTTTAGGGATGAAGGATGAGAGAATTCTGAAAAGTGCTTAAACTTCATTGTTTATTAGTTGAGACTGAAATTAAGAGTAAAGACAAAAAGGAGCAGTACATGTACTACTTGCAAGAGAAAATTTCTGTGAACGCATCGTTCAGACCACTGACTCACCGCTGATAATAAGTAATAACAGTTACTGTAAAATAACTACAATTCAGGGTTTTGCCCAAATGCTCTAACACAGAGCAAAATATTACAGCAATCACATTGTAATCCTGTGTATAAAATTATATATTGAACATGGAAGTTGAATGTAGCAATTGCATTATTACTGCTTCTGTTTAACATGCTTCTGACCGGAAATCATTCATGACACAGGGGTAATGTCAATCTCTGTTGGCCACCATTAAATAAACCAATCGATACTTTGAGAAGCTCCTAGCCAAAACTTGATATACATTTCCCCAAGCTGTGTGGTGTTAAACACACAAACAATCAAACCCTTATCTGTCACAAGGGATTCTATGGGGTTATGTTTTGGAAAGAAAGACATAAAATTCCAGACAGCACTTCGGCACAAGCTTATGAACTCAACCGAAATCCAAGGGAATTAATGGAAAAACAGTTTTTTTTCAGCACTGCGGTGTATTTGCGTTGCGGTAAAAGGCGATAATTTTGCTGTCTCTATGTCCCTGTGACAGAGTTTTCTGTGAATCAGATAAGTTTATAAGAAAACGAGACCGAGGGACAGGTGACGTTGCACTTCACAATGTAATTCAGCGCACTGTGCAAGGGGCAGAATTGTACAAACAGCTGTGCTCTGGCAGGGCCTGTGTGCGACAGACCTCTCCAGATGTGATCCTGTGGTGATCAGGTATCTTGGTGACACAGATAATAATCGTGATAGAATATGCAACTTAAGATCCTTATAAAAACAGCATGAAACAGTTCATCATCAATGGCAGACGCTAAACGATGAAAGCACAACATTCCAAATGCTAAATGAAGAACTGCTCATTCTAAGGTCTAACATGAGCAGTTCCAAAATAAATCCAGGTAACACAGGAAAGTCATAGACAGTATGACATTGCATGTGTAAAGAAAAACTCACAAAAATAGTAATAGAGATATGGGACTGGAAACAAGTGCTGTATTCAGAATCCCAAAATGTACAAACAGAGTGAACCCAATGGAGGATATCATGCTCATCAGTGAATGAAAGCCTCAAAGTGGAAATTAAGAGCACTTACTTTCAGGCTGTGGATATGGAAGATACTTCTTTACACAGTGACCTTCTGGGAAAACCTAAGGTTGCTGTTGGGGCCAGCAGAGGGTGCTCACCCTGTGGTCTTTGTGGGTCCTAATGCCCCGTTGTTGTTGTTGTTGTTGTTGTTGTTGTTGTTGTTGTTGTTGTTATTAGTAGGTTCTGGGGATAGAAAGGGTGTAAGAGTGGTAAGGAAGAACCAATGGAATGTGGTTGTGAGGCCAGGAGTTCCTACTTGAGTTGTTGATCTGAGGGCTGTTTTTGGCTCGGGAGAGGGCCCTGCCAATAACGTAGGTGGGGGATCCTCTGTTGATGAAAAAAGAGAGCATTTTGAGGGCTCTGGGATTTTATGAATCCATGTTGTCACTGCAAAGTCGCCAGAGCCTGAGGAACTGTAAAAAAAGGGAGATCATTTTAGTATGCGTGGAGTGAAATGAGCTGTACAGCAGATAGCTGTGCGAATCTCCGGGTTTGTAATAGACAGAAGCAGAGGGTTGCGGATGGTTAATGGATAGGGTTATGTCTAGAAACGGAAGAGTAGTTTGAAAGAGAAGTTAAATACTTATTTAAATACCTAGTTAAATACTGCCCGACTGAGGCACGCCTAGTTCAACACTACCCAAGTGGGGCAGGCCTAGTTAAATACTACTCAATTATGGCAGGCCTAGTTCAACACTACCCAAGTGAGGCAGGCCTAGTTAAATACTACTCAATTATGGCACGCCTAGTTCAACACTACCCAAGTGA